CAGCCCCAAGAGGAGGAAGGCAACGATGACCACCACGATGATGACCACCACCACCACCACGATCAGGAGGCATTTGAGTTGGTGGGGGATGCAGGGCAGGCGAGGGGTGGCTGTGTACCTCTGGGGACACAAGGGGACACCCGGCTGAGCTGTCGGTGTGGGGCTGGGGAGGGCAGCTGGTGCTCAGCCCCACACCAGCTCCCCGGGCTGGGTGGTGGGTGCTCCTTACCGGAGGTGCCTCCTCCATCCGAGCCTCTTTGGAGCTGCTGTCCATCTCGTCCTTCTTCGCTGAGCAGCTCCTGTCCCTTTGCCAGCCAGAACTGGGGGGTTTTATAGAATCCAGGGTGGTGGGGAGGTGGCTGGGGCCACCCCAGCTGCCAAGGTGCCACTTGAGCTGTTTGCTGAGCTGAGGACGGGGCGTGAAACCTCTGAGAGCCCTTTCCCAGAACTTGTCCAGCTGTTTTGGGGGGGGTGAAGGCAAACAGGGGGCAGCCAGCACATGCCCACCCTCCACACCCAGCTGTGAGCTCTGGATGAGGACCCAGCACCCTTAGCACGTATCCCCGGGGATGCTGCACCCCTGGTCCCTGTAACCCCCCGCACAGGCAGCTGCAGCCCCCCCAGCGTGGGGAAGGAGCTGGCTGGGCTCATTGTTGGCTGGGAACGCCGTGCCTGGGACGGGATGGGACGGGGTGGGATGGGACAAACGAGTAGCCAGTGCCTCCTGCCACCCATCAGCTCCCACTGCCAGGCCACCACTGCAGCACGGGCACCTGGGTGAAGCAACGGGGTAGGAGAACCGTGGTGGCATCACCTCTGCAACCCCAGGTGGGTTCCTTCCTGTCCTCCATCCCTCTGCACCCCCAGAACACTGGTTACCCCCACCCTGGTGTTTGTACACTGGTGAGGACACGTTTCCACACGGATGCTGGTGCTGTCACTCAGCTGCATCCCTCCCTCCCTCCCTCCCTCCCTCCTTCCCGCAGCATCAGAGCATGGTGCTCTGCAGAGCAGTGGCTCAGGAGCTGGCAGCCTCCACTGTCACCATCACTTCTCCTCCACGCTGAGATCTTCAGGGAAGGACCAGAGGAAAAGGCTTCGTCGTCATTGCCAGGAGCAGAGGGAGGAGAAGGACCAGCTCCCCGGGAAGAGCAGGACTAGGCCAGGGAGTGATGGAGCTGCAGCGCCGGAGGAGGATGCCGAGGGGCCATGGCTCTGCTCTCCTCCTCTTCCTCGCCTTGGCCTGGCTCTGGTTGCCAGCAGGGGGTCGGAGACCCTCTCGGCCACCCCCTTGTCCCCCGAGCTGCTCTTGCACCAGGGACACAGCTTTCTGCGTGGACTCCAAAGCTGTGCCCAAGAATCTGCCCCCTGAGATCATCTCGCTGTGAGTACCCAGGTGGTGACAGGGATGGGGACAGGGATGGGGATAGGGAGCAGGTCACCTCCCCAGGGTGCAGGGCTGGCAGGGGGTGCTGGCTGGGGTGACAGGGACAACCTCTTTGTGCCGCATTGGGGACAAACGTGTGGCAGTGTGGGGTACGGGCAGTGTGGGGGGGTCTTGTGGGGGGGGAGGATGATCAGATTGGGGACACCCCATGGGGACTGGTCTCCATGTCCTGCTGTCCTGGTGGCAGATGTCCTTGCACACACAGTGACAGATAGAGCAGGGCTCTGTCCCCACCGAGCTCCCTGTCTGCGGTGACCTTGGGGACCAGAGCCCCGAGGGGACACGGCTGGGGGGGTTCTGAGGTGGCATCTTTGGGGACACGGTGGGACATCAGAGCCTTGGACAGGCGTGTGAGTGTGTGCAGGGTGGATACGTGTGTGTGTAAGTGTGTGTGTGCATGTGTACATGTGTGTACATGTGTGCACATGTCTGTGCATACCTGTGTGTACATGTGTGTGTGTGTGCACATGTGTGTGCATGTGCACTCATGCTGGGG